AACACCTACCCTTTCCGGTATCTGCTGCTGTGGGTGTCTGTTAACTCTGCAGTTGGTGCTGGACATTCACCTTCAGCACCAGCTACCTTAACGCAATCTGCATCAGTTGCTCGTTTTACCCATCTCAGATGCAAAATAAATATGTGTTGTTTGTCAGGATGTAGTTTATGTCAATTGTTCTGTGCAACTGTTGTTTTAAAATTGACTGGTTTGCAATCTTTAACACTAACAGTATGACGAAATGATAGATTTTTAGAAAAAAAAAAGAAGTATAGGGCGTCTACGCTTGGAATTAGATAGGTCATTTATCTACCGACTATGACGCAGTGTATAGATCGAATATGCGGTTAGAGGTGGACAGAGTGGGGTCACATTGCCACCTCCAGTATCAACGAAACACATATCAGAAAAACCCGATACCCATTAAATGGTGATGGACATGCCCAGACATCCATGTCGCAGCTGTAATGCGCTCAGTCTGAAGCGATAGTGGTGCCAACATTCTCAGTTAACTATTCATTGAAAAAACGAGGATTGGGCATAGGTTACACGACAACTGTGGTCATGCAGCTTTGTGTGATGACCCAACCTCCTATGTCTGCATCCAGACAAGTCCCATTTAAGTCAAGATCTCATCATTCCTGAGATTTAGGTCACAAGGAAGTTGTCTGCTCTGAATTCCCCAATTTTTCGAAAAATGAAGACTTCGTTGGGGTAGGTAGACAAAGCGTTCAGCTAGCTGCACTCATGGTTTGCATCTAATTACCGAAAACTAGTCACAGCACCCAATTTCACGTGATAGCCTTCCTCATCAACACGCATGCTTGGAATGGACCGTGAAGCGTATTGCTCAGCAGGTGATGTGCAGTAATTAAACTTTACACTGATTCAACGATTTAAGGCTGCGGCATATGTAAACGCGTGGTTTCAATAACAGGTCACGATTGGGTCAAGTTCGTAATTTGTAATTGACAAATCTCAAATCAGAATGATAACTTCAAGACAAGCCGTTGATTTAGACGTTCCACCCACAAAGAAGACTCACGAAGGACGTTTTAAATACCTCTTTATGTCAACATATTTTTATTCCGCAAGATAAGTGCATAATAATTATGTGGTATGCAGTTGGCACCATAGAAGGCGTTGTTGAATCGACACTAATTTGGTAAGTGTGGGAGCAGATCGATCGGCCCTACAATAATAAAATTGTTACTTCGTCTATAAAAATCGTTGCCACCTGATTTTGCGAGTACTGATTCATTAAGGTAGTTAAGCATCGCATTGCTTGACATCAACAGGTAGCTGAGGTGAAGCGGGATCGCGAGTTACATTCAGGGTAGATTTGAGGGTAATTCTTGACAGACGTAAGAGAAGCAGGAAGTGGTGGTGAAGGTGGCTGCCTTGACTGAGCCTGCTTTTCGAAGGCAGGAAGGCAACGATATCCCTAACGGCAGTCTGGTGGAACAGAGACGGGCCAGTTCAACTTGATCAACAGATCCTGCTAAAAGTGGGTCATTTTTTTGCAACTCGCTTCTATTACTGATCGACCTTAGAGGTGTAAAGAAGACTATGATTTTATAAAAGTGACCAATCTATCCAAATAAACACACAAGTTAATATCCGAAACAGCCAATCACATTAAGCAAGGGAAAAACTATTAATCTCAAAGGCCATCTCTGGATGTTTGAAATCAATCATAAACCAGTAACACGGCGTGAACCTGAACACACTGATCGACACCGGAGCACACGAAAGAACCACTAAGCACAGCACACCTTTAAAAGGTCTTGTCCTTGAAGACGTCAACAAAGACCTGTCAACATATCCGTGGATGCAATAGTCGCAATTCGATCTAGTTCCTTCTCATCATCTCCGTTGACGCATTTCCAGACATCTCGTCGACTCACCAACAGCAAGTCACCCACGTGGATGTTAAGTGGCCCGTCCAAACAAGCTGCCGTGTTTCCTCATCCCCATACGCACGTTTGTGCGTAAAAAGTATTTACATCTTTGTATTTTGATTTTGATTGCTTGTTAACGTGTTGGTATTTAATGGTTGGTTATATCAGAAGCTAATAAAGTGTGCTTTCACTTCACATTCAAACTGTCAAAACCTCATTGTTGGCGATAATTCCATGCTTTGCTCGTTTGAATATCGAGTCACTTACCATTAATACCACTATCATGATGCGCTAATCTATTGTTTCGATTTGCAGAAGAAAGTGCGAACCGATTATCGATTTGACTAGCACGTCTACTCAGATGGCGTGAAAGCATATCACGGCTTGCTGCTCTCAAACTCACAAGTTGTTGTCGAATTTATTGCCTGACGCTGGTACTAACATTTTAATCACACATCGGCGTTCCATAATTTGTGACCAGAATTATTGTCTCCCACTCGATTTTGATTGTGGGAGACAGTCTGAGCCGATTATCGATTTGACTAGCACGTCTACTCAGATTGCATGAAAGCACATCACGGCCTGCTACTCTCAACCTTACAAGTTGTCATCGTAGCTGTTTTCAAGTTTATCTTCTGACGAAATCCTGAGGTTTAAATCACACATCAAGGTTACAGTTAATTCGAAGTGTCATAATTTCTCACCAGAATCCTTGTTTACCACGCGATAAGCCGTATTTCCTGAGTAATCTATTCACAGGCTTTTTCTGATTGGTCAGACAGACAAACGGCAAGAGTTCACGATAATGAAATTCGCAATGATAAAAAAGATTTTACAGTAACGATTTCACCACTTGAATATGGCATCCAGTTACGCTCCATAAGCCATACCCATGATGGATATGCTACAATTAGCTATTCGACGGAACAAACAGTCACATCTACCATTAATGCGTAGGTTACTTCAAGAAATAAAAGTAGGCTGTTATCTGCAGTAATTACGAAAATCGGGCACATGGCTAATTTGAGCGATGTAGCTGTCTAACACTGACAAAATTGATACTAAACAGGAATTCGATGTGTGGTACGTTCCCTTGTTTAATGGCGGTTCAGTCGACTTGGACGATGCTCAAATCAGTGAAGAGGACCATTTAGAATTTGATTACTAAAAACATATTTTCTCACAAACCCTTCATTGTGCTCCAACCGACCGTGAGACAATGATCGACTAGATATCTGCAGAGTATTCTTCGATTACTAGGACAGTGCGCCAGTTCAAGCGGTCTGGTTTTGAATGCTGATTTTCCGAAAAAAATGGCCACTACGATTGATTGCATATTTGCGGTTGTAAGTTGGTGGCTAAGGTGTCCCACATGAGATCTTGTAATACGCATTGTGGACGAGTTCGACATTGGTTCACGACGTTCGTTTGGTTAGCAGCCTACTTTTCACTCTAAACGACGAGATGTTTGCATATAAAGAGAGCCGATGGTTTATACGTAAAACGGTATAATGGAAAGCCAAAATGCCTTTTGGGTCTGGCGACTGGTGAATTTACAAATATCGAAAAAAATGTCAAATGCTCATTCCCATATGCACGTCTGTGTGTGGAAATTGGACACAGCGTTAAGTAATCAGTTGTACCTTCTTGTGTTTTGGTTTCTGGCCAGCCACACTAATGCCTAGATCTTCCACGCCACTTTCAGACTTGCATGGACCTCAATCAGTTTTCCTATTCACGTGCTTGCTTTGTTCTAATTCTTCAGATAGTCGCATTGTATACAATTTTATCTTCTAGCAAAAGAAGTAGCGTTGTACAGGACACTTAAGCTTGTGGTTACTTTGACGCACACCCTGTCTGGTTTCAACAGCCGATAGAATTCTACCAACTATTTGGCCCTGTTTGTTTGTTAGTTGGATGCTTCGGAATGAGGAAAAAGGCAGTATAACAGACCTCCGAATACCAATCGAACTTAGCCATTAACAATTGACAAAAAGAAAGTTTTTCGGTGCTTTAAAACAGTCCGACGTCTCATCCAATCACACGTTTGTCAGTTCAGTCATCGAGATCGCAGCGTACTGTTGGCCACGCGCACATGTCTGATAAATGGACCGTTCAAAGAAGCCTCAGTGTCTGCTCATCCCCATCTACACGTCTGCGTGTGGCAAGTTGACACACCTTGTTCTAAACATTAATTTCATCGAAAAGAAGTATTCTGCTGCATAATGTGACTATTCCAGTAGTCGACAACTGCAGTCGTCAATCAGCGAATGCACATTTGCTTGAATCCATGTTCCATTGGTAAAGATAACAGAATTCTATTTTTGCATACGACGAGACACTCAACATTTCACATAATCAATACGCTTACGCCTGCTATCCACGGATCCCTGTCAAGTTAGGCCGCTGGTGATCACAACACATTACGCTCTATCACCCCTAATTCTCCTCCTCCTGTTGCTTGTACTTCCCCATTGTGACACATGCGAACAATGTTTAAGGTGAGGAATTTGATGTAGTTAGTTGTAGTCCGCTCAGATATCGCTTCCTCGGTACGTGCTCGATGAGTGCTCTGCTTTGCTGTGCTGTCAATTATTGTGCCATGATGTAGTGCGATGAGTTGCGTGCTTTTGTCAATTGTCAATAAATGAGAAATCAGTGCACTGTAGCCTGGTTTGATGGTGTGCTTTTAACTCCTGCTTCCTCTCCTTTCTGTTGGTCATTGATGCATTTGAAGACTAGTGTGTGTATTCGGATGCCTGGACGTGCAAGCGGACTAAGGGGATTCGCGCGGCGTGGCTTAAATTGATATTGGGACCTAAGCTAGTGTGAGGCCTGCCTCAAAACATTTACTTTTATTGTGAGCCTAAAAGATGACTAATGATACTTTATGTACAATACCAAGTTCGAGAGACACGAAACGCACAAACAAAGGCGGGTGCACTTCTAAACATGATAGGTTGGTGATTATCACTCTGGCATCTTTATTCCTATACGTAAAAATCGGACGGGGGGGGAGGCGAGGTAAAATTGTGACTGAGATGAGTTTGAAAGTGTTAATCGGCAGGGCTGCCTGAGGAATACTTAGTATTGTCGAAGTCAGCCGTACACACTTTCATCGCTGTAAGCAATGTACAAGAATTTGTCCAGGTCCCGATGCACCTACAAGACAAATTGGGTAGTTTAATTAAACTTCGTGGAACAAATAATACACATATAATCTAGCAAAATATAAGACAAGGAAATATGAGCACGACACTCCTGAAACGTGAAAACAACTGATATCAGCTGATTTGCTAAAGTTGCCAATTACAAACCCCTTTACACCCCACAAAGTCTCGCTAATACCTCAGGAAAAGTGATGCAATTTTCCCCACGACTGAAGACAAGATAGTGAATAATAATAAGCGGCACAGGTCAATAGATATCTAACGCGAAGACAGCACACCTCATAGAGAGCACCCATGTTTGCGCTAGTTGGTGGAATTGTGTTGCTCACGAAGAAAAACAGAGCCTTCTCAGGCTTCAGCTGAATCCGTCTGCGGATGAGGAAGTAAAACTGGCCGACAGTAATATCACCAGGAACGATATACTTGTTCTTATCGAGATTAGAAACATTAGCCCGAGGAAACTTCTCCACAATTACCTGCATTAAAATAGTACAAAGACCATAAATATGGAGTAAAGAGGGGCAGAGTCTATATGAATGTTTGTATTTAACTAAGAGATGACGACATAGACAAAAGTCTTCAAATAAACTCTACAAACCTTACCGGGACACATTTGGGGTATTTCTTGCATATTTTTTCTCCTTCCTGAAGTCTGGCTTCGAAAGTGTTCTCCTCCTTGTACGCAAACTTCATCTCGAATCAAAAAAATGGCCGCTTGAATCAGCTGACTGGACGTATTTAAACAAATTTCCTTTAGTGAGGATAAGAAGATAATTTTGCTTATTATTAAAGCACTTCTTTTTTTTTCTTTGTTTACTTTAGCAAAAATATTTTTTTAAATCTTAAAAATGGCAATCATATTAGCGAATGGAGTGAAAAGTTGATAATGTAGCTACTTAATTGAACCGAAATGTTAGTGCAATTTTATTTACTTATTTGAAAAGGAAAAGCGATTTAAATACGTGTTTTTAAGCTCTACACACATTATTTCAAATCAAGAATTCTTCACTAGCCACTTTGATATATGTAAAGGGCGCAACAACTATAGTGCGCAACCCGTTTGCTTTAACGAAACCGTCAAATTTGGCATTACTTTTAGACATCATAATCGACCTTTCGAAATCTCATGACCTCTTCATTTTTTGACAAAGCATTTTAAAACTGATTTGTACTATCAAAATAATTCCCAAATAAATTGAGAAAGGTTGCAACTGTCACGTTGAATTTGCAACTAAATTTATGGCAATAATATAGATCTGGACTCTGCTAAGTGGTTTTTTGCAGACTGTAATCCACCCCCGTGCTCACACATCTTCTAATTTCATAGAGTTGCCCATACAATCTTGTGTTCATTAATTCCCGGACATCGTCACTTGTGCCGCGAACTGTTTTTAATCAAATCTAACACTTGTTGCCACATGAATTTTGCTTCGCGCATTATTTAAGCAGCAAGCGGTTGAAGTACACGCCTGTCCACTGCATCGTAATTGAATTAATCACCGAACACCGGATATTCACGTCACTCTCAGTACTTTCGAATTAAAGTTTTATCCTTGCGTTTTGCATGGAAGGACATCAGCCAAGGTTGAACACGGTCCTTTCGCTAGCCTTGTCAACTGCCACGTTCTCACTTGTTTAATGGGAGTGCATTGCTCCTAGAAAACACTATCGACTTTCTCCTTCTAGTTCCTGAAGTGATTCCCTCTTCAACATGTCAAAGTCAAATAAACATAACTGATGCTTATGTCGCGTGAAAAGATAAAGGCTAGTAGCAGCAAAAATTTAACGCCCAACGCTTTTGATTTCGCCGAAAATCCCAGTAAAATGGTCAGTTCTTATAAAACTGCTTTCTCATATATTAAAAAGGAAAACAGGTTGCAGAAAAGGGTGCATTACGACAACGGACGAAACGAATCGTGAGGAAACAGGTCCTGTTGCCAGTTGCTCGATTATTCGGAAACATTATTTTTGAATTTAAAATCGTGTTCGCGCTCTTTTAATGGTCCGCTGGGGTTTCTACATCGTCGACCACCAAAAGAAATGTCGATTATGGTATTACATTACAATGTCTCGTCTCGTCTCTGTGAGGACGCTGGTTCAATGTCGTTGTCAGCCAGTGAGCGTGGGGATTGGCTGTCTCCTGTCGTCTGATTGCTCCACTTACATCAAGAGATTGAACGTACCTCAAACACAGTCATTTTTGTCCTTTCTCTGCTCAATGAGTGCGTTTGGGCAACGTCGGCGTCAACGTCGGCTTCCCAGTTTGCAATATCGGATACACAAGACACACATAAATTGGACATCATTATAAACTCAAAAAGAGAATTAGATTTAAAACAAAGATTGCTACTCTCCTTCGCGGTGGTTCGTGCACAATTAGTGTTGTGGAGAGCAGTGGCGAGAGCGACATCAACATTAATACCGCCGACTTCTTAAAATCCCCAAATTAACCTTCCAGACTGAAAACCACTTGGTGCATCACAACAACAATCCTTTAATCGCTACGATATTATGCAGCAATTAAACACTGACGGAATCGACACCAGAGAGATATTTAGCATGTGGTACGATTCCTTGTTGAATGGCAGAAATTGAGTCGCAAGAACCTATTTTTTCATTGCCCCTATATTGTGCCTTGTCCAAAGGAGAGGCAAAAACCTTCTCAACATCTTCAAATTATTCTCTCAGTGGTAAGTCGATATGCCCCTCTTAAAGTGAGAATAAGGCAGTTGGCAGTCGTTCAGCAATATGGCACGTTCAAAAACCAGATTGTCTACAATTTCTGCACTGGAAATGTCGCTGATATTTTCTGCGCCTTCTTCACTGCTGACTGCCTTTGACCTGATCACGTTCAACTTGATTCCTTAATGACGTCAATTAGCAGTAAACTCACTCGCAACAGCAACTTTCACTTTAAGATAATTTGCGGCGGAATCTAAGAGGAGGTCATTCTCGTCGTCGTAGAAGATGCCCTCTATTGACGATTGCTTGACATCAGCAGGTGGCTGAGTTTGCGGTGCAACGCAATTTACATTCAAGGACTGTGGCATAGTGCGGATTTAAGGCGACTCTCAAGAGGTAAGAGAAGCAGGTGGTGGTGGACGAGGCTGCTTCGAATGAGCCTCCTGTGAGATGGCAGAGGGGCGACGATGGATCAGTTTTTCGCAACTCGCCCCCTTTCCTAATGGAAATTAGTGGTTTTGTAAAAGAGACCGTTCTATCCAAATGCACACACACATAGATGTCAGAAACACAGCCCATCACACAAAGCAAGGAAATAGCTCTTGATCCCACAGGCCTTCTTCAGATTTCAGGAATTATTCATAAACCAGTACCGCAGTGTGATCGTGAACCCACTGATCGATAACCACGCACACACACGAATCATCAACACCATGCCGAAACCTATTGGAAGTACTTGTCTACAAAGACTTTAACAAGGACTTGCAACAACAACCGTAGATACGGTTGGCGCATTTCGATCTTATTCGTTACCTTCATGTCATTGACGCATTTTCAGACATCTCGTCAACTCCACAATAGGCAATCATCCACGTGTTAGTTAAGCAGTCTAGCCATGCATACGCATGTGTCCGTTCATCTCCTTTTGCACGTCTGTGTGGACCGAAACTAATGCACTGTGCTTTCACTCCACACATAGACTGTCAAAATCTAGTTGTTGGAAATTATTCAGTGCACGCCTGTTTTAATACCAAGCCTCTTACCGTCTATACCAATATAATTAGGCATCAATTTATTGCTTCCGTTTGTACAAAAAGCCTGAGCTGGTTATAATCATGATTAGAACGTCCACTGAGGTAGCAAGCATTCAAATCACTTATCGCTACTCGCATCTTCACAAGTAGTAATTGTAAGTGTTTTCCAATTGATCTCCTAATGACGCTCTTGAAGGCCTGCTCATACATCGAAATTAAAGTTGATTCGGGGTTTCATGATTCGTGACCAAAAACCACTGTTCCCACAAGATCAACACGAGACCGCCTGATTAATCCCTTCACATGCCTTTTCTGATTGGTCACACAGAAAATCGACAAGAGTTCATGATCATGAACCTTCTAATAATTTAAATTTTTGTTTAGAATAACGATCCCACTTACCACTAGAAGACTAATTCGAAAAAGATAAGTCGGCCGAAGGCTGGCCATCGGCTAAAGCACAACGTAGATTTGGTGGAAAAATTGGTACTTGTGTCTTAAAATCTAAGGTATCCACTCCGGTTATTTCGACATCAATCGTTACATCTGCATCCGCCTTATACAACGATTAGTCCGTCACAACGGATTCATGTGTAGTGGCAAATTCTGTTGTGACACTGTGAGGCGATCAGCAATCCTCGCTTCAAATCCAATCCCCTCCTTGACTTCATACTCATGTCCAGTGTACGCACAGACGACCAGAACATTCGCTTGGCCGCTTCTTGTGTTTTAAGCATTGCAAAGTAACTGACAGCCTGATATACCGACGTAGACAATGCCCTTCCACAAGCACGCTCAGTGAGAAGAAACTAGACAAAATGACAGTGAGAGGGTGATGTTCAAACTCGTGGTGTAAGTTGACCAATCGGACGGCAGCAGAGAGCCTTCCCTCAATCTCATTGGTTAGTCAGCGTGCCGTCGTGCGTGCATTAACACATCTGCGCCAGTGCCTGACCGTTTTGAGTGGTAATAAATGTGAATAGGCCACCTATTATCTCGCCTTGCCCAGTGAGTTGTGAAGTGGATCGTGTTGACTGACGTCCAATAGGCCCGTAATCATTCAGGAGTGAGCATGTTTGGTAGTCCACGCAATTACATTAGTCAAAAAAGTCGGCGTAAAGTGCACTCACATGCAAAAAAAGCCTGTGCTCCGAGGTTTTTCTATAGCACAGAGCATGTGGGTGCCGTCGGCTTCGTTGTTGGTCTCGATGAGGTGCTTGTTCGATGGTAGCTTGACAACAGCAGGTGGTTGTTGTGAGTGTGCGATGCGAGGTACATTCTGAGACTACGACATCGTGCATCTATTAGAGCGGTTAAAGAGGTTCTGTGCAGAAATAGGAGTGGGAATTTGGAAAAGCATAGAGGCGTCGAGTTCCAACCTGTCAGCTCAATGAAGCAGTGATGCGCGTTTCCCAGTATGAAACTGCATAAATTATGTACCCATGTACGAGATGGGGCTAAAGCATTAAACGAGGAGTAGTCATACGCATACTCAAATGCGACCACTTATATATCTCTGGGCGATCTGACTTCGTTGAGTTGAGCAAATTACATTGAGTGATGAGTTGTTGGTGTGAACAGCGATGTGGTGTGAGCGCAACGTTTTAGTACAGTAAACAGAGCTGAGTGAATCCATGTCGCAAATCACTGTGTTTATTTACATGTCATGAAGAACGTTGACAACCCAACGAGCAGACGAACACATTCAACTTGTCAAGTAGTTCCAGTTGATGGTCAGTCAGTTTTCCCACCTCTCACTACTCGTCTTGAGAAAACATAACTAGAGGTAACAAATATGTCTAATTCAGATGACATTTTGTCGACATATTCGTCATGCTGCCACAAAAATACCCCATCACTGACGCCGAGCCAAAAATATCTACATGAACCAGATCATTTCAGAATGCCACCGATGTTTCGCACATCAGTAAAAATGTGCAAGTGTGAACCTATTGGTCGGTTGTGAAATACAAATGC